CATCGTTTGTACAGGTTTTTGCGTGTATGGAATTCTGTCATGTGTCTTCATTACATAATAAAAGCATTCATTATTGAGTCATTAATTGATCGGGAATCATATTAGTTTTATCATTGTTGATCATTAATTGCTGTTAGTCATGATAAATTTTATATATCGTAAATACAAATTTATTGTTCATATATATGTATGCATATGTTCTTATATAGTATAATTTTATTTTAAAATACTTAATTTGGAATTGTAAATTTATTTAATTAGTAAAATATATGTTATTTCTTATTAATATGATCCTTACATAATAGATTAGATGATAATAATTACACTTTAGGATTTTAGGATCTTAGATGATGATGATTGTGAATGTAATAAGCTTTGAATCTAGATTTAATGTGAAAGCATTATTGACATGATTAATTAATGTTAAAGATATGCATATATATTTTAGAAAATGAATTGTCTAGCCAAAGAAGGCTTATTGGGAAACTTTTTTTTTAACAATTTGTCTACTTTTGAATATTAACTAGCCTATAAGAAAACTATTTGAAAAAAAAAAACACTAAAGCCAACTTTTTATTATAATTAAATTATTCTAATATTTGTGGTCCAATATGAAAATAAGAGCAAGATATATGAATGTTTATTTCATTAAATTTATAGATAATTTTATTTGATATGATTATGTTTTTTTTTAATATCTCATAAATTAAAAGCTTTAAGTTACTTTATAAAATACATAAATCATGTTGATAATTAATTAAACATAAAAATAAAAACTTTAAAAACATAGAGTAACTTGAGTATTTAATTGGCCAGTTAAGAGGATTATGTGATGAAAGAAAAATAATATAATAATTAATTATTGAAAAGAAAGAAGTATGAGACTACTTGGAAGTGTTTCGTAAGAAAATATAAGGGTAAAAGGAAGAAAAATCACATCATGATAATAACCACAAAATATTAGTAACTTTTCACTTTTATAAACATGTCTGCTAACATTGATAAACAATGATAATAATAACAAATTTAGAAATATAAAAAGGAAAAATGACTCTAGGAAGAAAACTCTGTCAATTTATTCACATCGATTAGTTGTAATTGGATTTTATTTTTAATTTTAACAATGATCATTTGATTTTTTTAAATCAAATTTGATCCCTATTATTTTAATTGATATTTACTTTATTTTGAATCATTTTCTTGATTGATTTGTTTTATCAATTCTATCCCTAAACATTTATTTTCACTTAATTTTTATGTCAAATTTGATTTTAATTCTCTTAATTGCTATTGTTGAATCATTTTCTTAATTTATTTGTTTTGTTTTCAATTACATCCCTAAACAATTAATTTTATTTGATTTTTATGTCAAATTTAGTCTTAATTCTTTTAATTGTTATTTGTTTTGTTTTACTTTTTGTTTTTTATTAATTTTTTTTAATTTCATCCCTTAATATTTGTTTGATTAAAAATCTTGCTTTATTTTTTTTTTAGGTTAGCCTTTAATGGGGTTACCCTAATTTCATAACCCAGGTTATAGATCTAAAAGGTTAGCTTGAGTCAACCTCGATATTGTTTTAAAGCATTTCTTTTCAATTTTTCTTCTAGTTTTTTTTTTCTCTTTTCTATTTATAGGGCCATCCTAATTTCATATTCTACGTCATGTGTTTGATTTGTTGACTCAGGTTGACTTCTGGGTTTACTCGAGGGTTTTTTTGTTACTTTTTTATATTTTTCCATTATATTAGCAGGTGTCCATTCCTTACATTTTAAGCTCGATTTAAGTTATTTAAAATTGTTATTTTTTACTAATTTTGAAAATAACCCAGGCTATCTCAAATTTTTAAATTCATCATTTTTGTTAAATTTATTACTTCTTTTAAAGGGAGTTTGATTTAAAATTAAGACGACAACACATTTAATTGACTCGGACCAGCTATGATTAATCTGTAAAATCTAAGATATAAATTAAATTAAAGAATATGATCTAGGCATAGGATTTTAATTTGTTATATTTTAAAGGTGCTTATGAGGTATAATTTCATCTTTCATGATTTGTTTGGTGCTTTATATAAATTAACTTTATTTTTAGGGATAAAAATATTTTATGGTAAAAGATAAGCTTTGTGACAACGAAAAATACATTTGCATTAGATGCAAGTATTGGCTTTCAACATTGATAAGTGAAAAATATACATATGTTTCCACTCCTTTTACACTATGCTTTTTAATTTATTTTGAGTTTATTAAAAATTATTTTTATGAGTTTGACATGTTTAAGAGACTTTATGAATTAATTGCTAAATATAAAAAAAATTGCATTTTATGTTTTAGATCTAGCTTTTTGTGATAGTTTTCACCAAGTTAGAGTTCTTGAATGAGAACTTGGGCTTAATAGAAGTTGAAGTAAATATGTCAAGCTTTCCAAGAAGATATTACGGAAAAAAAAAAAATACTAACACAACCAAAAGATTGATATCTTCTTCCAAGTGCAGGAGTTCGAAGTAATAAATAACCCGGCAAGACCGGGGTCGAACCATAGAGAAGTTAATTATATAAATTATAGATAACAATAATACAACAACAACAATAATAATAAAGAAGAAGAAGAAGAAGAAGTTGATGAGAACTTTGAGATAAAAGATTAA